CCTCGAACTCGACGGTGCAGTAGGGGTCGGACTTGCCGTTCCAGTCAGCGCTGCGGAGGCCCGTAGCGCTGACGATCGTGACCCTGAGGCCTCATTGTCGTCGCCGTGGTCGTCGTTGCCGTCGTGGTCGTCAGCGTCGTCGTCGTCGTCGTCGTCCACCTTCTCCTCCTCCTCCCTCCGTCTCCTCTGTTGCTCCTCCTCCAGTTCCTCCTCCAGTTCCTCCTCCAGTTCCTCCTCCTCCTCCTCCTCCTCCCTCCCGTCTGTTGCTCCTCCGTCTCCTCCTTCATCTCCCCCTCTGTTGCACCTGCGCCTCCTCCTCCTCCGTCTCCTCATCCTCCGTCTTCTTCGTCTCTTTTCGGACATTGTCGCAAGCCTCCGTATTCTTTTTGGCCTCTGGGGACCTCTGGAAACTTCCGGGGATCGTTCAGGCATCTCTGGTGATCCCCAGAGACCTACACACAATCTTCATCATCGTCGTCCTCCTCCCCGGCCGCTCCAGAGCCTCTGGTGGAGGCTCTGGCGGAGCAGGACGAGCCCCTGGCGGCAGAAGGCGCGTCCATCGTCTGCAAGTCGCTGGCCTTTGAGCAGGGACCGACCGTCCGGCATTCCTATAGGCCTACCACGGATTGTTCTTAGAACCCCGAAACGTTCTAAAAACAAAAGCAATCTTCTTAGAGCATAAGCCCGATGGGTTAAAACAAGACAGTCCAAGCCAGAAATGTTCTAAGAACACGTCGTGGAAACCACAAAAGGTTCTTAGAACATTCTTTAGTAGGCCTATAGGCGAGCCAGGACGCTTCGCCACTGCTTGAGGCCTTAGTGGCCGCGTACTTCATCACGTCCGGCATCGAATCTTTCCACATGCTGCCGGCGGAGGGCATACCCAAGGCCTGGAGCTGGCAAGGCTCCTCGACGATCCTCGGAGTGTGTGTCAGCGCCAGCGTGTGCTCGTCCACCGAGCCCCGTCCATGCGACGCAGGCTGACGCAACGAGGGCCGCCGCAGGCTGCGCGCGGTGGCTCTGAAAGAGGCGCGGCGGGTTCGTGACGTGCCGACTTCGGCCCTGGCTGCTGCCACCGCGTGGCTCGCTCAACCTTGGCCAATCGCGGCCTTCCGATAGCGCTGATGGTTCGGTGTCGGCCGATGCTGGGCAACTGGCGGCGTTCGAGCTTGCACACCAGCGCTGGGGTTGCCGCCGCGTCGACACGACGCTCTGCCACAAATACACGCTGGGCTAACACGCGTCCTGAGAATCCCCGCGCTGCGGGCTGTGCACAGACAGTTCCCGGAGGTAGACCCCAGCTGAGCGACGATCAACAACGGATCTTACGCGACATGACACGTCGACCTTACGCGGTGGCTTACGCGGGCCGCCAGCGCGGCAAGCCACAATGGAGACGAGGGCGCTTACGCGCGACCTTACGCGAGCAGCTTACGCGCCAACGTCGGCGCAATCGAACCCGTTTTTTTGCGTCGCCCAGCTGGCCCCAACGGGCCCTGCGCCGCTCTGGCGAAACACCCCTGGGGCGTTCCGCGACCCGGGGGTTGCGGTGCCGAGACCGCCCCCTGGCTGCCCCCGGGGGCCCGTTGAGGCCAGCGGGGGGGCTGCCTCCGGCGGCTGCCTGCTCAAAGAGCCAGGACTTGCCACCTGGAACCCCCAGCGGTTCGCCTCTTTCATCAGTCTCGCCATGAGGAGCCCCTGTTGGTCGCCCGCCTCCGCCAGCCTGAACTTGCAGAACTCGTCCCCAGAGTCCATGAGCACACGGCAGTACGGGTTGGCCACCTGCGCAAAGGACTTGCCCCTGGTGTAGATGTTGATGACGAAGAAGACCTGGTGCACCCTCGGCCCCAGCGCGTTCAGATCTACGTGGATGACCTCGTCGTCGCCGGTGCCAGCGCCCGTGAGATTGTCTCCAGAGTGCTTGATCCCAGGGGCTTCCAAGTTCGAGAAGAACACGGTGTCCACATGCCCTCCGCCCTGGTCCAGCAGAATGGCCGACACGTCCAGGTCGATCTCGCCCTTGGCGGTGTCCCAGCCCAGCCCGGCCTTGATCGCGCCCAGCTCGCTGGAGCGGGGCAGGTCTGCCACGCCCCCCTTCTCCATCGCGAAGCAGGCCTTGATGCGCCGAGGCGCGCCGGGGATTACCTTCCTCACGTAGTTCCCGATGGTGGGCTCCAGGATGTCTATGAAGTGCTGGCCGTCCTGTGCGGGCTCCTGGATGAGGCCGATGCTCCAGCCGTTGCCGTCGCGCTTGACGGCAGCAACGAGGTCCACCTCCTCGTCGCTCCTCTCCAGCGAGAACTGCCCAACTTCGTTGCTCAAGGAGTCCTCCAATATGTGGAATCTGCCGTTTCTGATGTCCCGCAGGTGCCCTCCGCTGTGGCACGCGACGACGTACACGATCAGCTCGACCTGGGCAGCCAACCGCTCCAGGTCGGCCCAGACGATCTCATCGATGCCTTTCTTGGCGCCCGATACCTCGTCGCTGCCGTGCAGGAGACCCTTCCCGAGGGCCTTGAGGTTATTGTAGTATCCGCCACCTTGCATGTTGGTAGTGGGCCTAAGTCGCCTCCCCTGTCGGTTTTGTTGCGTGACGCTACTGGTGAAGCATGCTCCTCCTTGCGATGCAGTGGGGCCCCAACAAGCATAACACGAGCTGGTGCATGTTTGGAGCGCGGTCCCAAAACACTTGTTTCTCTATTATCGATGTGCACTCTTGTGGTCCCATGTGCGAATTGGTAGCAGAAATTATGCAAGCTCTGCTGTGCAGTCCACGTGTAAATATTGAAGCCATCAGCTTTGCTGCTGGAGCGCACAAACATCCCACCCACCCACCCGCGCAGCTTTTTGGCAACACTCAACTGGGTGGCGACAGCGACGAAGATGATGATCATGATGATGATGATGATGATGACGACGACGACGATTATGTTGATGGCGACGGTGGGGACGATGTCGATGCTGGCGACGGTGCTAAACCTGATGAGGATGATCACAACGGTGGCCATGATGTCGCTGACGATGATGATGACGATGGTGCTGGTGAAGATGCGGAAGAATTGCGTGTGCGCAACAAGTCTACGAGGGCGACGACATCGACGATGACGATGACGATGATGACCGGATGTGGGGATGGTGATGATGGTGACGATGATGATGATGATGATGATGATGATGATGATGATGATGATGATGATGATGATGATGATAATGATGATGATGATGATGATGATGATGATGATGATGATGATACTGATGATGATGATGCTTTTGGTGATGATGATGACGACGACGATGATGATGATGATGACCATGATGATGATGATGCTGATGATGATGATGGTGATGATGGCGATTGCAATCGTTACGCGGACGATCACGACAGCGATTCCGCAGATGAGGATTATGATAATGATCGCGCTAGAAGAAATTCCGAACTCTTGGTGTGAATTTATGTGTATATATATATATATATATGTATACACATACCTGCATTGCGAACCAATCGGGTTTTCACCTGTGCCTGAAGAGCTGCGCAACCGTAAGCTTCGAACAACAATGGTTTCGGACAGCTTCCAGTGTGTGCGCGCGGAAACGCGCGCGTGTGGTCGGCAGGGCCTTAACTTGACAGAATTGGCGAGCGCGCCGTGGTTGCTGCACGCGTACGACATGCGCGCGTGGGGCCCGCATGGTCTGCCGGCACGCTGTGGTACTGTGTTGATCTCGGCGAGCGCACGCAAACGCTGGCAACTTTTAGTCGCCTCCAAGACAACGTCTTCAAGGGGTCCCCGAGACCCCCACAAGCGGCCCTCAAACTTCCACGACTGCCCCGAGTCCCCCAAACAGGCCCAAGAGGCAGCCGAAGTGCCAGTCACCTCGAGGCCGAAGAAGGCCCCCGCGCCCGAAGAGGCCCTGAACGGATGCACCGATGCGCGTGTGCCAAGAGGCCAAGATTCCACGTTTCAGCCATGAAATACCAAACAATCCTACAGAGCTGCAACGTGGCCTCCTGCGTCCCCGAACACGGCCGCGGACACCCTGACATCCGACGCCGTGAAAAAACTCGCGACTTCGTGACACCAATCGCGGCTGGGAATCTCGACCCCGTCTTTGTGCGGGATTTCTCCAACATGATTGATGCGTGAAGGTCCAGATCGGTCAGCCTCGAGTTGGAAGCAACGGACGGAATCGGAGTGTGAGTCATATACGGCCGCGTCGGCACAGAATCGGAATCGAATCGGACCGGCTGCGCCAAGATGCACAACGACGTCATGCGAGCATCGGGCTGCATCGGATCATCGGCACACTGGAATCTAATCGAATTAGGCTGGCCAGAGACGATATCGACTCGGATCGGTCGGATAACACACATATCCTGGAAGGTTGCGGAGCCCACCAGTGTGCCAAATGCCAGTATTTGTTCAAGACTCCCAGATGTGTGCTGGCGGGTGTGCGCGGCGGCGCGATTGGAAACCGCGTCCAGAAGTTTCCCAGACGCGTCGAACGCCACCGCCTGCAGCTGCACGACGACGGCGAGATACGGCGAGCACAAGGGCGTCGACGACGACGACGACGCCGACGACGAGGACTCTGACGGCGACGGCGACATCAAACGCCATCGCTCAGGCATTGGCAGAAGCCATTCTGGCCCGTGGTGTCTCCAGGGCTGCCAGCGACGCCCTGGCGCCTCGAGAAAACCCAAATCGAGGGACAAACGGGGACCCTGGGGCTCCGCAGTGATCCAAAGACGCTCCAGTCACCACCCGGATGGCCTGCAGCTTCGCGACGACGACCAGGACGAAAACGGCGACGGCAACGGCGGCAGCGGCGACGGCGATGGCGATGACGACGCCGACGTGGGCGAAGAGCCACGGCTGGATGTCCGCTTCGGCATTTTCTGGCTCGAGCTCGGTCACGCGCTCACTTGAAGGGGCGCAGGGACACAAGTAAACAGGCACAAACCCCAGGATTCCTCATAAAAAGAATACCTTCTGGATGTGCGTCTCCCCCTCCACCTCCGCTGTTTTCCATACTTCCCAAGTGATCGACGATTCGTTGTGTCAGTGTGTGTGTGTGTGTGCGTGTGCGTGTGCGTGTGCGTGTGCGTAAGCGTGTGTGTGTGTGTGTGTGTGTGTGTGTGCGTGTGTGCGTGTGTGTGTGTGTGTGTGTGTGTGTGTGTGTGTGTGTGAATGTGTGTGTGTGTGTGTCTTTCCCCCCTCCTGACTCACCCGGGTCCGCGCTGAGCCACGTGGCCCGCGATGCTGCCACCCACCGCCCAGGAGCGCGCGGTTTCGCAGCCGAGCGCCTGCGGTCGGGAACTCCTGCTTCTAGCGTGTCGCGGCGGCGGCCCCGGCGACGACGCCGCGTGCCCTGCGAGCGGACAGCGCGTCGCACCGCCCTGCGGGGCGGGAGGCTCGGAGAGGCTCGGGGCGGTGGCGCATGGGCGTTGGGGAGCGGTTGGCGTGTCGCGCCGAAGCGTGGCGGGCCAGACCCGGCGGCGCGGCACGCGAAGCAAAAGCTCCAGACCGTATCGCCGATCCATCGGCGACGCGTCGGCGGCTCGGGTCCCCCCCCGTGCTGTCGCCCCCCCTGACTTCCACCCCCCCGCCGCTGCCCTCGCCCCCTGCGCCTTCGCCCCCTCGCCCTGGCCCTCGACCTCGCCCCTCCTCCCTCCTCGCCCTCCTCGCCCTCGCCCCTCGCTTTCCTCGCCCTCGCCCCCTCGCCCTCGCCACGCTCGCCCTCGCCCTCGCCCGCCTCGCCCACGCCCGTCTTGCCCCCGCCCGCCCGCCCGCCGCCGCGCCTCCTCCCGGACGCCCCCTCTCGTTGCTAGCCCCTCCCGCGCGCGGGGCAGGGCGCGGCCGTCGCCGCGCCGCGGGCGCGGTGGGAGCAGCACCGCGGCGCCCTCGGCGACTGTGGTGGTGGTGCTCGCTCTGGTGAGTGTGCCCCGGAGGCCTCGGACACTGGAGGATCCCTTGCCAGCCGGGGGGCGGCCGTGCCACCGACCCGCCGGCCGGAAGAAGCTCGTGGAAGCATGAAGCAGACACGGCGTGGGGAGCAGCTGGGGCTCCCGCCCGCCCCCTGAGGAGGAGGAGGGGCGAGGGACAACTGCTTGACTCCTGAAGCAGGACGGCGCCAGGGAAGCAGATTGGGACGTGGGCATCCGGCGGTGCCTACTCTCAACGACCGGCGTGCTATCCATGGCAAAGCCCCAAAGGGTGTCCCACCAGCGTTCAGGCCCTGGACCCCGTATCCCAGGGCTCTGCAGGCCCACCGCCAAATTCCCTACCTAGGCTCTGCCTAGAAGGGTTCTTACTCTCTAGCTTAAAGGGGCCGGGCAGTGGAAAGCGCCCTGGGCGGTTTCCCCAGTCCCCTGGGAGCGGTTCCCCCCAGTCCCCTGGGAGCTTTAGCTTTAGCTTTAGCTTTAGCTTTAGCTTTAGCTTTAGCTTAGCTTGAGCTTAGCTGTAGCTTAGCTGTAGCTTAGCTTTAGCTTAGCGTTTCGCTTAGCTGTTCGCTTAGCGTTTAGCTCAACTTTAGCTTAGCGTTAGCTTAGCTTTAGCTTAGCTTGAGCTTAGCTGTAGCTTAGCTTTAGCTTAGCTTTAGCTTAGCTTGAGCTTACCTGTAGCTTAGCTTAGCTTTAGCTTAGCTTTAGCTTAGCTTTAGCTTAGCGTTAGCTTAGCTGTTGCTCAGCTTTAGCTCAGCTTTAGCTTAGCTTTAGTTTAGCTTTAGCTTAGCTGTGGCTTAGCTTTATCTTAACTTTAGCTTAGCTTTAGCTTAGCTGTTGCTCAGCTTTAGCTCAGCTTTAGCTTAGCTTTAGCTTAGCTTTAGTTTAGCTGTGGTTTAGCTTTATCTTAGCTTTAGCTTAGCTTTAGCTTAGCGTTACTGTTACTACTAATGCTGCTTTCCTAGGGGTTCCAACTCCTAGGTAGGGTCGCACTGGGAAATTTTCAAGAAACGGCGGGGGGAGTGGAGGGAACCGCACCCCAAGCACATGCCCCAACACAGAAAGTCGCTGGTTCTCTGCTCTGGAGAGGGGGTGGCGCTTTCGGACAGCCTCCGCGGGGTGGGCTCGTAGACCGGGGGGGGGGGGCAGAGCATTATTGTCTGCTTCCTACTGTGCACTATTGCTGTCTGCGCGAGGGGGGAGCCCAACGCCCCGGCCGTGCCCGAGCGCGCGTGGCGTCCCCCGGGACGCCGCGCACCGTGGCCCCACCGCGGTGCGCGGCGCGCCGTTCGGCCCCCCTCTGCGCGCCCCGACGCGGCGGCGCCACCCCGAGGAGTGAGAGCTCTGCGGCCTGGGACCGCAGCGCGCGCATGGCCGCGACCATCTCCGCGCCCATTGAGCCTGCTCCTCCTCCTCCTCCCGCTCGTCGTCCTCCTCCCTCCTCCTCCTCGTCCTCCCTCCTCCTCCTCCTCCTCCTCCTCCTCCTCCCGCTCGTCGTCGTCCTCCTCCTCCTCCTCCTCCTCCTCCTCCTCCTCCTCCTCCTCCTCCTCCTCCGTCCTCTCCTCCTCCTCATGCCACCCCTTCATCCTTCTGCCCCTCCTCCTCTACCCCCTCCTCCCTCCTCCCTCCACCTCCTCCATGCGTTTTCCTTATACATGATTTCTCCCTGTCGCACCCCGAGGCCAATTTTTAGGGCTGGCCCGAGGGCGGGCCGGGCGCTTCGCCTGAGAATCCTCAGCATTTATGACTCTGACGCTTAAAATAAGCAACAGCTGTTATGATCTACATTGAAACCTGAGATGATATGTTTTGCTCAACACCTCAGCCGAAGGCTACGGTATGCAAATCCTCCTGCACCTCTTCTAAACCACATCAACATTTATAAAACACCAACACGCCCCCTCGGCGAGCGTCCGCTCACGGGAGAGTGATGCCGAAGGTGTTTTCAATCCTCCGACTGAAACAAAACTTTAAACCCTGCCGCCTGTACGCCAAGCTGCGATTCGAGGCTCCGCTCGTAGCCGCTCAAGCCTTCCACCTACTTCACTTTGTCATCGAGCCTCTCGTCATAACTCCAGCATCCTTCGCAACTCGCTGGTGTCAGCACGAACCTCGGCTGCGTCTTGTGCCTGGCGTACGTCGTCATGCTCTGCGTGCTCACGGTGCGCTTGCTCTGCTTGGTTTTGAGCCTTTGTTTCCTCGCACCCCCGACGGCCTCAAGGGGTACGGTGCTCTCTCCCATGCTCGTGATCCACGTCTTCATCTTCATCATGTAGTGGTGCGCCACGCATCCCACTACAAACGCCACCATCATCGTGATGAACAGCGTGGTCCAACTGAACGATGCCGTCGAGCATGCTCTTGGACTAAACATCACCACCTCGTTGCTGCTCACCGCGTCGAAACTATCTGTCACTGCCACCTGGGTGTCGCCTTTGGCCTGGCTGAGCAACAGTGCTGCCGCAAGAAGCTGTCTGGGCCCCTTGCTTGATCCTGTCCACTGACTGCTATTTCCACTGAGCGCCTCTCTCTTGCTCGTCTCGACTCCATCTCCGTTGTCGTATCCCATGCCAAGCCTCGACCTCCACTCCAGGAACTTCGCTGTCTGCAATGCTTTTGTGTAGCCATCCGCTGTGTTGGTCGCGGTCGGCTCCTTATGAACCGTAATCTTCTTCTCGTCGTACTTGGCCTGGAGCCACAATAGCCTCGTCTCGATATGCTTGAGCGCTCCACAGCCACTTCTCATGATGATGCCTTTTGCTGCCGTCGAATCCAGCCTGAGCTTGAGCTTCAACGGAAAACCTATGAACTCGAACAGCCGCTGCATGTGGAGTCCCTGTGCTACTGTGGTCACCGCCGCGTAGTACTCGCTTTCGCCTGAGCTGAGCGCCTGACAACTCTGGCCCTTGGTGAACTCCCTGAGGTTGGTGGTCCCAAACTTCAGCGCGCCTCCCGATGTGCTCTTCCTGTCGTTGACGTCGCCTGCCCAATCGGCATCCGAGAAAGCGTCCAAGTACTCCGTGTCGTCGCTCTTCTTCACTAAGATGCCGTAGTCCGCCGTGCCCTTCAAGTATCTCGCCAGCCGCCTTAGCCTTTGCATATCTGGTTCCCTGGGCGCTCAACTCGTGAACTGCGAACGGGATGTCTGGCCTGTACTTCAGCAGATGCCTGAGAATCCCAACGCACTTGTTGTACGTCTTCTTGTCGACTGGTCCCACGACTGGCTCTTCCAGGTCCTCCTTCTTCCTCGTGCTGACCATCGGCGTCGGCACCTCCTTGCAGTTGGTAAGCCCCAACTCGTTCAACACGTCCTCGATGTACTTGGGCCTCGGCGCTATGTGTATCATGTGCTTGCTGATCCTGGTGCGCGTGGCTCTGAGGTACGAATACACCATTCCAACCTTCATGATCCTGGCGTCCTTGAGCTTCAGTACTGGTGCTAAGTTTGCTGCCAGCCAATTCAGCTCGTGGTCGCTCCCTGATGCGTAGATGTCGTCTTGATGTACCTCGAAAACCAGCGTGGTACCTGGCCTCCTGAAGATGCTGGGCTGCTCGGGACACTGCTCGATCCCAAGGCTCTTAGTCACGTCGACCACGTACTGGTTGAACTTCTTCGAGGCCTTGCGCTTGCCGTAGATCTGCTTCTTCATCTTCCACCACGGTCTCTTGATCTTGCCACCTCGCGCGTGATATCTTCTGACCCATTCCACTGGCGGATCCACGTACACCTCCTCATCTTCGTCAGCGTGGAAGTATGCGTTCTGCGCGTCCAGCACCATCGTGTTGTAGCCGTGCTGTGCCGCATGCTGATCGATGAGCCTCCCCGTACTGCTGGTAGCTCCTGCCGTGAACAACCCTTCTAGTTCAGGATCGTTGCCTTTGAACTCTCTCGCCACAAATCTGCACCTCCATTCGTCTGGGCCTCTTGGAACGTTTTCCCATCTCGTCGACAGGATGTCTGCGCTGTCTGGGATGTTCTCCACCGTCTCGAAGATCTCGAACTCCTCCATCGCGTTCATCTCCTTCTCCTTGCCCTTGATGATAGCCTGCGCTATCGCTGGGTCCACACCTTCATATTCGCCCCAGTCCTCTTGGAGGTAGGCGTTGTCGTCGAAGTCCGCGTCGTACTCGTCCGCGTCCATCGTCACTAGCTCTTCCACTCTCGCCTTCTTCTCTATCGGTGATGCCACGCCTGCTGGGTCTCCACCGCCGTCACGCTTTGTGGGGGAGCTTGGCACCATTGAACTCGCTGATGCCCTCTGGATGCCTGGGACCGTCTGGCCCCGACCTTGATCTACTTCCATCTTCGCCGCGTCGCCGACCTGCTGTTTGCCCTGGGTTTGCCCTGGTACTGGAACTGCTGCCGCTGCTGGCGCTGCTGCTGCTGCTGCTGCGCCCCCATCTCGCTGCCGTTGTGCTGGGGCTGCGTCGTCTGCAACTTCTGCTGGTGGTCCTGGCACCACTAGCGGTATTGCCTGTGGCGCCTTGGGTCTCTTTCTTGGCCTTCCCATCGGCCTTCCAGCGTATCTGTCCCACGGCGTGCCCTTGATCGCCTTGACTAGGTCGGCTCTGTCCTGCTCGCTCGTCGGAACCCTCTTGACCGTCCTGGCGGTGAACACGCCCTCTTCGGTCCCGAACAGGTGCTCGTCGGACTCGATCGTCTTGCCCAGCCAGATCCCTCGCACGAGCCTGGCGTCTGCTCGTCCTTGCCTAACTCCAGCTCTGACCTTTCCCGTCGTCGTGACCGAAAGCTTGAAAAGCGCTGCCTCGCAGAACTTCAGCACTTCTCCCTGGTACGCCTTGCCAAAGCAGTCCTCGTACGCTGTCCTGTGATTTGCCTTCGCGTGGTACCGCTCTAGGATCCATCCTGCGTGCCTTGCCATCCACGGCCAGATGTCCATGGAGGGGTCGATCTTGGTGCCAAGCCTCGCCTCCATGTCCAACCGCATCGTCCTGATCTGGCCCTCTGCGGTCTGCTGTGCTCTGCCGACGACACCGACGCTTTGGCTGCTGAACCTCGGCGTCTTCTTGATCTCCAGCTTGATGCCGTCCACCATGCACTTTTGCTTCACCTTCTCCGCGATCACGTCCAAGGCTGGCTCTGGGTCCGCCTTGAGTATCGCACCTGGGTAAGCCATCCGCTTGACGAAGGCCGTACATGTAGATGCTATGTAGTTAGTCTCGTCTGACTTCTGAGGAATCGCCATCACCATCGGATTCTGAGCCGCCACGTCTACCAGAACGAGTGTCGTCGCCCACGCTTGATCTCCTGGTGCATGCCTCCTCTTCGGGTCCGACAGCAGGTAGCAGAAGTCCATCTCGAACTCGGGTAACTTCCTCTTCTCCTCTGGCCTCTGCTCATGTGGCTTTGCTCGTCCTTTGCCCATGACGCACCATGCACACCACGGCTGGTACGGCAAGTGTGTAACTTCATGCCGTGCTCGTTCGTCTGGTGTCGGTTCAGCTGGAGCTCGTGGTACGATAACTTCGCCTTGGCCTCCAGCTTCGGCTAGCTCCTTCGCGCGCTCCTCGAGCCACTTCTCATCTCTGATCTGGAGCTCGAGCTTCGCCTCTGCGTGCACCAAGCGCCCCCATAGCTGCTGCTTGGTTCCCCAAATCGGGGCCTTGAGCTCCTTCAGCCTCTTCCTCATGTCTTCCACCGAACTGCCGCTGAAGAGCCCTCCTTGACCGACGGGCTCGCCGTGCTGCTTGACCTCGAGCCACTGCTGAGCTAGTTGTTCTGCTTCTCGATCCAGCCGTGCGCCTTCAGGGATGCCTGGGTCAGGAGCCTGAGGTGCTCCTGCAACCGCCACTGGTGGTGGTGCTGCTGCTGCCGAGCTCGAAGCTGATCCTGATGCCGAACTGCTCGGCTGCGCCTGTGGCATCTCCTCTTCCCCGACGGGCGCGATCATCACCGTCGGCTTGCTGGGCGTAGGTCTCATCCTGATCCTCAGCCCGAACGTGCGTCCCTTCATGTACACTGGCACCTTCACTCGTCCTCGGTCGGTCGTGATCTCCAGCCAAGGATCCTCTTTCCTGAAGAACATGTTGATGCCGTTCCTCGCGAGCTTGCCTGCGCTTAGCAGCGCCCTCTTCACATCGCTCTGCACGAACGGGGTCTTCGCATTCACGACCGTGCGACCGTCGATGTCCAGCACCGGGTACTCGACCATGATCTTGCGACCTGACTCGATCTTGCTACCATCTGCTCCTCTGAGTCGAACGCCGCCAGGTCCAATGTCCACTCCGTCGTCGGCGAAGTTCCACGGACAGGTGTGCTCCTCGCATGCGCTGTCCAGGGGGAGAAACTCATGGACCTGGCTGTCCATGTTCTCGTCCCAGACGTTGAACACCCACTTCTCTTCGCCGCTCCCGTCGTCGTCGCTCTGGTCGTCGTAGCTCTTGACCTCCTGCGACTCGGCCTCGTCGTCCTCGATCCTCTCGTAGACATCGATTTCCCTGACGTTAGCCTCTGGGTCCTCGTCGTGTGCATCTGGATCCTCGTAGTCTGTATCGTGATCCTCGTAGTCCTCATCTGGGTAGCAGATCCTGCACCAGTGCTCGTCGTCGAAGTCACCCTCGTGCTCGCACAGGTCGCACTCGTACTCGTCGTCCTCCGCGTTGACCTCCTCGATCGTTGCACTCGCTGGCTTCTCTTCGACTGACCTTACGTTCTTGGCTGGTGGTTCTCCTCGAAGTCGTGATCTGCACTCTGCCCACTTGTGTCCTTTCTTTCGGCAATGTCTACACTCGCCTTCGAAGCTGTTCTTCACCTCTCGACCTTTGCCATTGCCTTTACCCTTACCTTTTCCCTTCAGCCTGCAATCTTGTGCTCTATGTCCTGGTCGTCCGCAGATCGCGCAACCTTTTCCTTTTCCCTTGCCTTTTGCTCCTTTGCCACCACTCCGCGCTGCGTCGACTTCCATTGGGACTGGTCCTGAAGGGTCTGCTGCGTTTGTGCATCTTCCGTCTTTGTTGAACGTCCTGCCAAACTGCAAGTGCTCTCTGATACTCTGCTGTACGTCCTTGTATCTCCCATTTGCGGGTCCTGTGGCCGATCTCACCATCGACCTGATCGACTCTGGCGCGTTGCCTGCCAATACTGCAATCTCCATCGAGTCGCTGACCTTTTCTGTGCTCTCCATCTCGTACTCCGTGATGCGCGTCTCCCACTCGGTCAGGTCGTTCGCGAACTCGGCACTCGTCGCTCTTTGGTCCCATCCTGGCTGTAGAACTCCCATCAGTAGTGCGGTGTGTCTGCCTCCGACGTCTGGCGCGTATTCTGCCTTGATCCGTTTCCAAGCGAGAATCCCATTATGCTTCTCCGCGCCTCTGACCAGCGTCAGTGCTTTGCCACGTACTGTGTTGACCAGCAAGTAGTAGAGTTGCTTGGCCTTCTTCTGCTGCTCTGGGTTGAAGTTGGCGAACTTCAAGTCCGTCACCCCTCTCGATGCTGCGTCGAGGCTGTCTTCCAAATCCGCCATGCCGCACACACTCTCGAAGATGAAAGCCCACTCCTGCCATGATTCATCTTTTCCGTTGGAGATCGGGCACTTGTTCAGCACTCTGGGGTCGATGTGCTGCTCGTTCCCGCCATCGAGTCTTCCGCCAGCTTGGGCGGGGTCTGCGCGTCCTGCGCCTCCTGCTCGCTGCTCTGCTGCGAGTCGTGCGGCCCTCTCTTCTCCGAGCTGCTGGCGCACTTCTTGAAGTGCCTGGGCCAGCTGCTCGAGCGTCGCCATGAATCGCAACTTAGCTCCGCTACCATGTTATGATCTACATTGAAACCTGAGATGATATGTTTTGCTCAACACCTCAGCCGAAGGCTACGGTATGCAAATCCTCCTGCACCTCTTCTAAACCACATCAACATATATAAAACACCAACAACAGCTTCACATATGGAGGGCGGGCCCGTTTTCAACATGTGCCTCTCGCCTTTGCGCGGCGCACATTCGTTTTCTCTCCAAATTTGCAAGACTTGCACGGATTGGGGGCGGGCCGTTCTCAAAATGTGGCTCTCGCCTTAGCGCGGCGCGCATTCGTTTAACAGAAATTGCACGAGCTTCACAGATGGAGGGCGGCCCGTTTTCAACACGTGCCTCTCGCCTTTGCGCGGCGCACATTTGATTTAAACATTTACAAGAGTTTCACGGGTTGAGGGCGGCTCCTTTTCAAAATGTGGCTCTCGCCTTAACGCCGTGCGCATTCGGTTTCAACATTTGCAAGAGGTTGACGATTTGAGGGCGGGTCGTTTTCAAACTGTGGCTCTCGCCTTTGCGCGGCGGGCACTCGATTTAAACATTATCCCAGTGCGACCCTACCTAGGAGTTGGAACCCCTAGGAGCACAACAATAGTAGTAACAGTGACGCTAAGCTAAAGCTAAGCTAAAGCTAAGCTAAAGCTAAGCTAAAGCTAAGCTAAAGCTAAGCTAAAGCTAAGCTAAAGTTAAGCCACAGCTAAGCTACAGCTAAGCTAAAGCTAAGCTGAAGCTAAGCTAAAGCTAACCTAAAGCTAAGCTAAAGCTAAGCTAAAGCTAAGCTAAAGCTGAGCAGCAGCTAAGCTAAAGCTAAGCTACAGTTGAGCTAACTATAAGCTAAAGCTAAGCTAAAGCTAAGCTGCAGCTAAGTTAAAGCTAAGCTACAGCTAAGCTAACTATAAGCTAAAGCTAAGCTAAAGCTAAGCTACAGCTAAGCTAAAGCTAAGCTAAGCTTAGCTAAACGCTAAGCGAAAAGCTAAGCTCAAGCTAAGCTACAGCTAAGCTGCAGCTAAGCTAAAGCTAAGCTAAAGCTAAAGCTAAAGCTAAAGCTAAAGCTAAAGCTCCCAGGGGACTGGGGGGAACCGCTCCCAGGGGACTGGGGAAACCGCCCGGGGCGCTTTCCACTGCCCGGCCCCTTTACGCTAGAGAGTAAGAACCCTTCTAGGCAGAGCCTAGGTAGGGAATTTGCAAGGGCTTCACGGGTTGAGGGCGGCTCCTTTTCAAAAGGTGGCTCTCGCCTTTGCGCGGCGTGCATTCGATTTTAACATTTTCAAGAGTTTCACGGGTCTCATTATCAACGTACCAGAGAATTGTGTTTTGGACGGATTCAGGATTATGCGGGTGCAACAGTTACGTTGGTTCTCTGTGTTGAAGTCCTACGAATGGTGTTCTGGCACGATTCAGGATCGTCAAGACGCAACAGTCAGGTTGATCCGTGACTTTGGAACCCCGAGAACAATGTTTTGGCATGCTTCAGGGTCTTCAAGCGGATGTCTTCCGACGAGACAGTTCCATCAATGGAAGTGAACCGTTGTAGGGGCCTACGAAGGGGGAGCTCGGAGGGAGGGCTTACTCCAACACCGTTGCTGACTCTTGGATTTACACTGGTCCTCCTCCTCCTCCTCCTCCTCCTCCTCCTCCTCCTCCTCCTCCACCGCTCTCCTCCTCCTCCTGCCTCCTCCTCCTGCCGTAGCTATTTTGGCTCAAGGGGGGGTGACCTGCAACGAACGACAGCGCTCGATGCCCGAGGGCTCGAGGGCGGCGATGCTCGACGTCTTCCGGCGGGCTCGAACGTCCCGCGCGGTGTCAGGGGCCCCCTCGGGGTGCCACCACACGAACGACGATCATACACGGATCTCACGCGAGATGGCGCAGCGACCTTACGCCGCAGCCTACGCGGGCCGCCAGCGCGGCGCGCTACATTTGGAAACGAGGGCGCTTACTGTACGCGCGACCGGTTGCGGGCAGCTTGCGCGCGGATGCCTGAAACGGCTAAACGCAAGAGTGACCCTAGGCAAGAATGATCTCGGGGACGCGGGGAGGCCAAACCCAGGCGCGCAAGCCGCTGCTACCGCTTCGCGTTCAGCGATCATGGGACCAACTGGGCACGCACCAAAGGTAATTTTGGCGAAAGGTCCCTCTTCCCAGACCCCCGACGTCATGATTTTGTTCATAACGTCGACCCCCAGTCGTCTCGACCCCTTCCCCAGGACCGGTTCTTCATCCTGAGTCGCTTTTTGATGGTCCCGAGGGCTGGTAAGGGCCCCCTGAGGCCGAAAATAGCGAAAAACCGCCCGTCCCGATTTGGATGGGGTCTGGGTTACGTCTGGTCGATTTCTCTGCGTCGATCAACCAGACCCCCGGCCTCCGAAGTGCTCCTGGTGCTCGACGGCGGCGACGCGACGATGCTCGAGGGCGACGACGCGACGACGCTAGAGGATGACGCTCGACGGCGACGACGCGACGACGCTCGAGGGCGACGTGCTCGACGGCGCCGACGCGACGATGCTCGAGGGCGGCCGGCGGCCCTCAATGCTCGAGGGCGACGACGACGGCGGCGGCGCGCGCCGTGCGCCACCGCCTGCAGGTCCACGTCCACGGGGCCCTCGGCGAGGGGCACTCTGCGGCCCCAGACCCCCGACGTCGTGAATTTTTCATGACGTCGACCTCAGCGGTCTGGACCCATTCCCTGGGACCGGTTTTTCGTCCCGAGTCGCTTTCTGACGGTCCCGAGGGCCGGCAAGGGCCCCCAGAGGCTAAAAACAAAGAAAAACCTCCCGTCGTGATTTTTTCATAACTCGAGGGGGTCTGGGGCCGCAGACTGCTGCTTCGCGTGCCGCGGCGGCGGCCCCGGCGACCACGCCGCGTGCCCTGCGAGCGGCCTGCGCTCCCCTCCGCTCCGCGGGGGGGGCTCGGGGCATAAAGGCTCGGGGCGGCGGCGCCCGGGCGCTGGGGGAGGCGCTCGGCGGGCCGCCCCGAGGCGTGGTGGGCCAGACCCGGCGGCGCGACGCGCGAGGCAAGAGCTCCAGAGGAGGAGGAGGAGGAGGAGGAGGAGGAGGAGGAGGAGGAGGAGGAGGAGGAGGAGGAGGAGGAGAAGAGAGAGGAGTAGGAGGCCGGCGACGCCGGTGATGATAATGCTGATGCTAAAGGTGTTTATGGAGAGGGGGGGGGGCGGCCCAGGGGCGGGGAAGCACCCCGCCGGAAGCGGCGATGCATCGCCGATGGCTCGGCGACGGCGACGGGCCCCCGATTGCACAAGCGCCAGCTCCTGGGCGGGGTGGGCTAACGTGGGCCGATGTCGGCGTTGAGCGGGCGATGGGGGGGCCGATGCCCCCCCCCATCCCCTGAGCCTGTCCCCCGGAACGTTGGCCCCGGACCTCGTCCCACGACAGGCCGAACCCCAGCCTCTGGCACGAGACCGGCAGCTCCTGGCCCAGCTCGAGGTCGCGGGCCATCGCTGCCGAGGGGGGATGAGGGCGACCTCTCAGGGCGCCCTGCTGCTTCTCCTGGTCCTCGTCGGCTCCCTCCTCGTCGTCGTTGCTCCTCCTCCTCTACAATTACTCAGTATGAATACTACTCTCCCTCTTCCCCTGATGACGTGCTGGGAGTGTTCGCCCCCCCCCCCCCCCCCGCGTCCTGCTTTTTTACACACAAGGATTCCCGGGAGTTGGGTTTTCGCCTGCATTTTGTTTCAACATGCTGCTCTCGCTGAGGCGCCGGCCTCATTTTCGGGCCCCGCTCGTTCCGAATCGTGCTCCCGCTGCAGCGCTGGCCTCATTTCCGTGCTTCCGCTCGTTCCGAATCGTGCTCCCGCTGCAGCGCTGGCCTCATTTCCGCGCTTCCGCTCGTTTCGACTCGTGCTCCCGCTGCAGCGCTGGCGTCATTTCCCGTGCCATGCCACGGCATGCAATGCAATGCTAGGTTGATGCTACGCTTTGCGGTGCTCTTCTACGCCATGCCATGCCGTGCTCTACAATGCATCGCGTACCCTTTCGGGATCATTGCCCTGCTCGACATCCGACTGTGCGAGTAGAGAGGGGATCTGCGCCATGGTAAGGGATGGGAGGGAGGGGTAGGATGTCAGATATGACGCGAGCGCACCTAGCTTGTCCTCCTCCTCCTCCTCCTCCTCCTCCTCCTCCTCCTCCTCTTCCGTCTCCTCCTCCTCCTCCTCCTCTTCCGTCTATGACGCGAGCGCACCTAGCTTGTCCTCCTCCTCCTCCTCCTCCTCCTCCTCCTCCTCCTCCTCTTCCGTCTCCTCCTCCTCCTCCTCCTCTTCCGTCTCCTCATCATATCCCTCGTCCCTCCTCTTTTTCCCTCCCTCCTTGCCACCTCCGCCTCCTCCAGGATCTGCTCGTCATGTCGGCTTCCCACCAACTCCTACTCTTCGTCCTCATCTTCGTCCGCCGCACACCGCTCATCCACCCCGTTCCTCCTTCTCCTCCTGCTTTATCCTCCTGCTTCTGCTCCTCCTCCTCCTCCTCCTCCTCCTGCTTCTCGTTGTTGACTTTTTGCCGTCGTCGTCCTTCTCCGGAATCCTCCTTCAGCAAGTTCAGCACAAGCATTCTTTGAGGCAGAACGAAGCCAATGAGCAATCATAGTGTACGTACACTGCAAGCCGCGACACCTGAACATGTAACGCATCAGTATTCTATTCGGCCATACGGCGATGGGCAACCTGACGTTCCCCAGTCAATACGTCTAGCACTTCGTAAGCCTTTCCCCCCCTCCTCCTCCTTCGCCTGGTCCTCCTCCTCGCAACACTCCCTCGTTGTCGTCGTCCTCCTCCTCCTCCTCCCTCCTCCTCCTCTCTCCCATCGCCCCCCGCGAGGCGACGACGACGACGACGAGACGGCGGCGGCGGCGACGACCGCGGGCTGGGTGTCCGCCTCTCGCAGCGCACGGCTCGAGCCAAACATCGGCGCTGGCCCCCACCTCAACCTAAACCTCCACCGCCACGCGCCCTCCTCCCTCCCCTTCTGACAGCGAATGGCGCCAGTCTTCGGCAGTGGTCTCCTCCACCTGCTCCTCCTCCTCCCCTCCCCCCCTCCTCCTCCTCCATCGATGCTCTTCTCTCCTTATTACTTCTCCCCCATCCTTCAGCTGGGAGCATTCTGGCAAGGACCCCTGGATCCTCTGGGAGATCCGCGTGGAGCCACTTCCCTGCAACAGCAGATGGCCTGGCAGATGTCATGGAGGCGAGTCTAGACTCTCCCTCCTCTTCCTGCTCCTGCTCCTGTCCCTTCTTCTCCTCTTTCTCCTCGCCCTCCATCGTCCTCCTTCTCCTCCTCCGCCTCCGCCTCCTCCTCCTCATGATCCACATCCTGCTCTTGCTTTGCCCCCCCCCACCTCCTCCCCATCCCGTTCCTCCTGCATCTAGGTTCATCCCCCGCTCCTCCTCCTCCTCCTCCTCCTCCTCCTCCACCACCTCCTTCTCCATCTCCCTGTTCCCACTCCACCTCCTCCACCTCCCTCCTGCTACTGCTGCTGCTGATCCTTCTCCTCCCCACCACCACCACCACCACCATCATCATCATCATCATCATCATCACCATCATCATCACCATCATCACCATCATTATCATCATCACCATACGCATCCTCCTCCTCGTCATCATCATCATCCGCATCATCACCATCACCATCACCATCACCATCACCATCACCATCACCATCACCATCGCCATCACCATCACCATCATCATCATCATCATCGTCATCATCATCATCACCATCACCATCACCATCACCATCATCATCATCATCATCATCATCATCGTTATCATCATGAACATGATCCTGATACTGATCATCGGTATCACGATCATGAGTAACAGCATCACCAGAATCAACATCAAACACATGATCGTCATTGTCGTCGTCATCATCATCGTCACCAGCATCATCATCATCATCGTCACCGTCACCATCACCATCATCATCATCACCTCAGCATCGTCATACTCATCATCACCAGCAAAATCACCATCCCCATCAGCATGATCATCATCGTCAGCAACATCATCAGCATCATCTTCGGCATCGTCACCACCACCATCACCACCATCATCACCAGCATCACCATCACCATCATCATCACTGTCATCACCACCATCAATGTCCATCGTCATCATCATCACCACCAACATCAGCATCCTCGCATCCTCCTCCTCCTCCGCATCATCATCCTCATCACAATCATCATCATTACCATCATCATCACCATTATCATCATCGTCGTCGTCGTCGCTATGATCGTCGTCGTCTTCTTCGTCGTCTTCCTCGTCCTCATCATCATCAGCGTAGTTGTCACCGTTATCGCCACCATCACCACAGCCACCATCACCACCACCACCATCCTCACCTACATCAACATCAACATCATCATCGACATCATAATCACCATCATCATCACCCTCCTCCTCCTCCTCCTCCTCATCATCATCATCAGTATCAGTATCAGTATCATCATCATCATCAGTATCAGTATCAGTATCAGTATCAGTATCAGTATCATCATCATCATCATCATCATCATCATGATCATCATGACCATCATGATCGCCATCATCTATCTTCCTGATCTTCACCATCATCATCCTCATCCCCATCCTCATCAGCCTCAGCATCATCGTCCTCCGAATCCTCCATCTCCGACGACAACCGAAAGCCTCCGACGGTTGCCAGACGCCACCCAAACCCTTCCCGAGGCCTCGCGAGGACCTGCGAGAACCCCTGTGGGGCCTCCCAACGCCTCCAGAGCCCCCGAACACCTCAGAGCCTCCGGGAAGCCTCCGAGGGTCCGAGCACTCCCCCCCCCGAAGGCCCCCCCCACCACGAGCGTCCTCCGAGAACATGCCCGCGCCTCCAGAGGACATTGAACACAAACGGCACATGTGTCAACGGTAAGATAGCCAACTCAAGACACAAGGATGTATGGTGCTGGATCGACGAACTAAGAACATATGGTGATGATGGTGACGATTAGAGGGAAAATAATGAAAAAGAGGGTGACGGGAAAACAAGAGGACGCTGCATGGAAGGGACTGGACGATAAGAAGTGGATTTGATGGAAGATGTGGGCGCGAGCAGCAAATGGGGAGAAGGACGACACATCAAAACCCTCAGATCCGCCGACCCCCGCTTGCCGGGGTGCAAAGGCGTGTGAGATGATTGGCTGTCCCCCCCCCCCTTTCCCTTTTCCCAGGGGTATGATGTCCGATTAGAAAGGGGGGGGGGGACGAGCTCGTCAACGCACCCCTAGAGCATACGGAGATTCCAGAGACCACGCCAAGGTACTCCGAAAGAGCGTCGGGACGGCCCAACGTAGCCCCACGAGAGTCCAAGATGGCTTCGAAACTGCTGACGAGGCCCAAGAGTGCTCCCAGAAGACCGCCCAAAGGGCCTCAAGACATATAGTTCGTCCCATCCGTCGGAAAACTGAATGTTTAGCGTACTCGCCTTGTGTCCAAGACAGCCCAAGGGCCTCAAAGATCGTCCCAAGACGGCCACAAAGGTTCCCAAGAGTAGGGAGCACACAAAGGACGTACGCGCCCAGCTATGTACATGAACACGGCCCCTTGACCCGCGAGACCTGCCGCGCGATACGAACATTCGCGCAATGCGAACTCTCGAAACCAGCGTGGATTCATATACATGTACGTCCTTCTTTCGCTCCTGAAAGAGGGCCCACTGACCCAAGAGGACACGACAACGGCCCCAGGCCACTCCAGGACGGCTCAAAAGAGGCCCAAGAGGGGGGAATTCGAACCGACATGTCGAGCGATTGCCCCCATGAGCCCCCTAAGAGGCCTCTGAGGCGCTCCCAAGAAGCTCCAGGAGGCCTCCAAGAGGCCCCCACGAAGCCCCCAAGAGGCCCCTGAGAATCCCAGAAGAGGCCCCAAAGAACCGCCGGAGGGCCCCTCAGCACCCCCTTAACGCCTCCAAGAGCTTTCCAAGAGGCCCCTGATGGGACATTCCAAGAAACCCTCACATTGGTCATGTTTTTTTGTCTCTCTCTCTCTCTCTCTCTCCCTCCCTTTCTCTTCGTGTCTCTTTATGATGCCCTCTCTCTTTTTGTTTTGTTCTTTCTCTCTCTCTCTGACAGCTTATTCTCCTGCTCCTCCAACTTCTCACCCTCCTACACGCTCCTCTGCGGAGGAGGGCTCTGCATGGAAGAGCGGAGCGTTTGTATCGTTGCCTGGATCCGTCGACGTCCGCTTCCAGGGGCTGCCGAGTCGCGAGGAATCACTAGCTGTCCCCTTGCCAAACGTATATTTACGTAACATGGGTGCAGATGTGGGTACAGCGTTGAAGATTACGACTCGCCCTAGCACTTTCCTGGGGCTCCCCGCTTTGCCTGGGGGGGTCGGCGGAATGGCGGAAGCCTTCTTGAACACCGCACGGCTCCAGCGCTACCACCACACAAAGCTGTGGTCGTCGAAGCTCTTCTGCAGCATCTCGACGTACGGATCGTAGAACTCCTGCAGGAGCAGGCGGGTGCGGTTGTGCATGCGGATGTACCCGGCATCCTGGCTCTTGACGTGCCAGTGGGCTCTCCTCTGCGTCTTCTGGGCGAACGACGGCGGCAGCGCCACGTCGCCCAGCCCCATGAACCGGAGCAGGCTGGCCTGCGTCGCTCGAGCTCGGTCGTGGTCCAGCGCGAAGTCGATGTCCTCCAGGCGGCGGACGAAGAAGCTGTCCCTCGGGAAGAACTCCCGGAACCACGGCAGGTAGGCGCCGTAGAGGCTGTCGAGCACGTAGGTGGTGGTCCTCCGGTGGTTCTTGCAGCCCGACACCCGGTACCGGTTCGTCAGCTGCCAGCACTCCCGGGCGGTGTGGCCTTCCGACGCGCAGCTCCTGAACTTCTCCACCGCCTGCACGGCGTTCTCGTGGAAGATGTCCGCGCTCCTCACCTTGTAGACGTCCGCACACTTCGACGTGTTCACGTGCCTCGTGAACTCGAAGTTGTAGTGGGAGAGGGCGCGGTCCACGGGGTCCCGCAGGAAAGCCACGAACCTCGCCTCAGGGATCACGGCCTGGATCAACGCTGGGTTTAGGTCGGGCATGCCCCCCTGCCGGCGGATTTTGGACGAAAAATAAAACATACCCCCAAATGCCCCCACATATTCGAAAGTGGTCATGAAAATCGTGCCCAGACGATTTCTGGACTATTTCCCCAATCAGAGCTTGCCTCTGTAGGGGTATATATATAAAGCAGAGGTGAGGTGGGCGGCCGATTTCGGTGGCCGGGGCCGGGTGCCCGGGTGCCCGGGGGTTCCCGGGGGTGCCCGGGTGCCCAGGTGTGTGGCCGATTTCGGCGGCCGGGGCCGGGTGACCGGGTGCCCCGGGGTGCCCAGGGATGCCCGGGTGCCCAGGGGTGCCCGGGTGCCCGGGGTGGCCAGAAGTGCCCAGGGGTGCCTAGCCCAATAGCCCTATATCCCTATAGCCCAATAGCCCAATCGCCATATACCCCTATAGCACTATAACCCTATAGCCCTATAGCCGTACCTATACCACCACCCTTCGGGTGATAAGTTCGGAGGGGGGGGAACCAACGTCTCACTCGATCGGTCTCACTATCGATCTCAGTATCGATCTCACTATCGGTCTCGCTCGATCGATCTCACTCGATCGATCTCACAATCGATCTCACTCGATCTATCTCATTCGATCGATCTCACAATTGATCTCACAATCGATCTCACAATCGATCACACAATCGATCTCACATTCGGTCTCAATATCGATCTCACTATCGATATCACAATCACTCTCACAATCAACGTCATCATCATCATCATCATCATCATCATCATCATCATCATCAACATCAACATCATCAACATCAACATCATCACCAACATCGTCATCACCATGAGGGCACCGTCATCATCATCATAAACATCATCATCAACGTCAGCATCATCATCGTGACAACATCATCATCATCACCATCACCATCTCATCATCAACATCAAACTCATCATCGGGACAGAGTCATCGTCATCATCATCAACAGCATCATCAGAATCATAATCATAATCGGGACACCATCATGATCACCATCGTTCTCATCATCAACATTATCATCAACATCGTCATCATCCTCGGGGCACCATCATCATCATGATCATCGCATCATCATCATCGACATCATCATCATCATCAACAGCATCATCATCATCATTGGGGCACCATCATTATTACCTTCATCGGGACACCATCAGCATCACCATCATCATCATCATGACCATCATCATTATCAGCATCATCATCGGGACACCATAATCATCATCAAAATCATCATCATCAACATCATTATCGCCGGGACACCATTTCCATCAACATCATCGTCACCAACATCATCGGAATCATCATCATCATCATCAGCATCACCTTCATCATCATCATCATCATCATCATCGGGACACCATCATCGTCATCATCATCAACATAATCATCATGAGCATCATCATCCTCATCATCGGGACACTATCATCATCATCGACACCATCATCAACATCATCATCATCATCATCTTCATCGGGGCATCATCATCATCTCATCATCATCATCATCATCGTCATCATCATCATCATCATCATCATCATCATCATCATCATCATCATCATCATCTCATCATCATCCTCGCGGGACACCGCGGGACACCGGCGGAACACCGGCGGGACACCGCGGGACACCGCGGGACACCGCGGGACACCGCGGCACACCGGCGGGACACCGCGGGGCCCCGCGCCCCAGATGAGAAACATTTGGTCCGGCCGCGCCTCAGCCACAGGAGGACACCGCGGGACACCGGCGGGACACCGCGGGGCCCCGCGCCCCGGAAGAGAAACATTTGGTCCGGCCGCGCCTCAGCCACAGGAGACTTTTTCTCGCCCGCCCACGCAGCTTCGCCTCGCACGCACGGCACGCACGAACACGAAACCGAAACCAATTTCCCGGTGGGGGGCTCGCCGTTCCACTTCGATCTCACCCCCTCACCTCCGATAGCCCTACAGCCCAATAGCCCAATAGCCCAATAGCCCCATAGCCCCATAGCCCCATAGCCCCATAGCCCTATAGCCCTATAGCCCTATAGCCCTACGGTCCTGAAACCCTGTAGCCGTACCTATACGACCATCCTTCGGGTGATAAGGAGGTTCGGGGGGGGGGGACCCAACGTCTCACTCGATCGGTCTCACTATCGATCTCAGTGTCGATCTCACTATCGGTCTCGCTCGATCGATCTCACTCGATCGATCTCACAATCGATCTCACTCGATCTATCTCATTCGATCGATCTCACATTTGATCTCACAATCGATCTCACAATCGATCACACAATCGATCTCACATTCGGTCTCAATGCCGATCTCACTATCGATATCACAATCGCTCTCACAATCAACGTCATCATCATCATCATCAACATCATCAACATCAGCATCATCACCAACATCGTCATCATCATGAGGGCACCGTCATCACCATCATCATAAACATCATCATCAACGTCAGCATCATCATCGGGACAACATCATCATCATCACCATCATCATCTCATCATCAACATCATCATCATCATCATCGGGACACAGTCATCGTCATCATCATCAGCAGCATCATCAGAATCATCATCATAATCGGGACACCATCATGATCACCATCGTTCTCATCATCCACATTATCATCAACATCGTCATCATCCTCGGGACACCATCATCATGATCATCGCATCATCATCATCGACATCATCACCACCATCAACAACAACATCATCATCATCATCATTGGGGCACCATCTTCATCATGAGCAACATCATCATCAACATCGTCATCATCATTATTATTATCATCGGGACACCATCAGCATCACCATCATCATCACCATCATCATCATCAGCATCATCATCGGGACACCATAATCATCAACATCATCATCAACAACATCATTATCGCCGGGACACCATTTCCATCAACATCATCATCACCAACATCATCGGAATCATCATCATCATCATCACCATCATCATCGGGACACCATCATCGTCATCATCATCAACATAATCATCATGAGCATCATCATCCTCACCATCGGGACACTATCATCATCATCATCATCATCATCATCATCATCATCATCGACACCATCATCAACATCAGCATCATCATCATCATCGGGACACCATCATCATCATCATCACCATCATCATCATCTCATCATCATCATCATCGTCACCATCATCAGCATCATCATCATCATCATCATCATCATCATCTTCATCATCATCATCATCATCATCATCATCATCATCATCATCATCATCATCATCATCTCATCATCTCATCATCATCATCATCATCCTCGCGGGATGCCGCGGGACACCGACGGGACACCGCGGGACACCGCGGGACACCGCGGGACACCGCGGGACACCGCGGGACACCGGCGGGACACCGCGGGCCCCCGGCCGCCCGGAAGGGAGTCATTTGGTCCGGCCGCGCCTCAGCCACACGGGACACCAGCGGGACACCGCGGGACACCGCGGGCCCCGGCCGCCCGGAAGGGAGACATTTGGTCCGGCCGCGCCTCAGCCACAGGAGACTTTCTCTCGCCCGCCCACGCAGCTTCGCCTCGCCCGCACGGCACGCACGAACACGAAACCGAAATCGATTTCCCGGTAGGGGGGCTCTCCGTTCCACTTCGATCTCACCCCCCAACCTCCGATATAGCCCTATAGCCCTATAGCCCGAATAGCCTTATAGCCCTTAGCCCTATAGCCCTATAGCCCTATAGCCCCATAGCCCTAAAGGCTTCTAGCCCTATATCCCTATGGCCACATCGCCCTATAGCCCTATAGCCCCATAGCCCTAAAGCCCTAAAGCCCCATAGTCCCCCAAAAAATTCTGATTGGGTTTTTTCTCTGGTATCATTCTGAATAGACCTCCTGTAGAGGGACAGGTCCGACCTAAAGCTGGGTTCGTCTCGAAGTTCATGGCGGAGAAGTCCAGGCTCCGCAGCCGCGCGCGCTCCGCGGCCCGGACGCCTCCGGAGGCGACGGCGTGGCCCAGGCCCGCGTACACCCTCGAGTACACCTCGAGAGACAGGTTGCTCCCCAGGGCGAAGAGCCAGTACTTGGGCTCCTTCGAGTTGTTCACGGCGTCGTCCAGCGCCTCCAGCTCGGGCGGCTGCTGCGCCAAGACCACGCTCGGGTGCGGCATCACCCGGTTGTACACGTCGCTCGTGCCTGCGGGCCCCGATCTGTCTGCCGCCGCGCTGTGCGGCGATTGTGCCCGAGTCCGCAAACCCTGAACCCAAACACGTTGCCATCTCGTCGGGGCGCATCTTCTTCGCCCGCCGCCTTCCGCCGGCCGTCCGCCGGCTTCCGCCGGCGGCGCCGCCCTCGCACCTTTCCGCCACCTCCCGCCGGTGAAGGGATGGCAGCTCCTCCGATCATCGAGGCCAGAGACCGTTTCGAGCGCCTGATTTGTGCACCGAGCCCCTCGCACCTGCCCCGCCTTTGCCCGCCCGCCTCCCCCGCGGGACGCCAGCTGTGCCCTCGAGCGCCCCGCGCTCCTTGGCTCTCCGCGGGGCGGGGCGCTCGGAGCAACATCCGAGCGGCAGAGGGTGGCTGCAGCTCCCCTGCGCCGCAGCCCCTCCGCCCCGCGCCCGCGTCGCCGCGTGTTGTTGTTGTTGGTGGTGGTGGAGGTGGTGGTGGTGGTGGTGGTGGTGGTGGTGGTGGTGGTGGTGGTGGTGGTGGTAGTGGTGGTGTTGGTGCTGGTGTTGTTGTTGTTGTTGTTGTTGTTGTTGTTGTTGTTGTTGTTGTTGTTGTTGCTGGTGTTGCTGTTGTTGTTTGTTCTGTTGCTTTCGGAGGACAAAGAAACGAAAAAGGCGGGCATGGGAGCGGACAGCGACAGTATGCACAGCTCGCCTCGCCAAGCGTGCCGACAACTGTCAAGCTCGTCGCAAAAGGGCGCCCCGCAAGCGTGGCCAGGACGCCGGCCAGGGAGCACCCCCACGCTGCCGCGGCGGCACCACGAGAGCGCGCCCCGAGGCACCTCCGCCGCGGGCCCCGCCACCCTCGCCAAGGAGGGGGAGGGGGCGACCCGCCACCCTCGCCAAGGAGGGGGATGGGGGCGACCCGCCACCCTCGCCAAGGAGGGGGAGGGGGCGACCCGCCACCCTCGCCAAGGAGAGGGATGGGGGCGAGGGGAGGCCCCGGGGGTCCTAGAACGGTGCGGTGGCGAACCGTGCGCGGATCGAAACGAGGATCCCTGCGCCTCAAGCTTCGGGGTCTGTTCAAGGAGGGCGCGTTTCGCACCCAGACGGCTGCGGCCGCAGAGTGCTCAGTGTGGAACGCTGCTCGGCGTGGTCCTGCAGAAGCAAGCGAGAGCACGAGCAGACAAGCTGCGCCCCCTCCAGTGTCTCTCCACCGGCACGTGAGGCGAACTCTGACCCTGGTGCCACTCTCGCCACTCCTACAGCAGGGTACCGTCCTAAATCACAGTCCGCGTTGCCGTGTGGGCGCCAATTCGACCTGTACAACAGCCTGAAAACGGACTTTTGTACCTTGCCTTTGATGCGCAGCTGGTTGGGCATGAAAACGAGGAGAGGTGGGAGACTTTTGAGGTGGTGCCTGAGCACAGTGTAGTTCACCGAGGTCGACTGAACCACTCCGAGACTGGCGATCTGGAACCCCCGAAAGACCTCAACGCACGGTCTGTCACTGCATGGTGTTGGGACCCTGGAGGCCCCGACCTCCCGAGACGCCCTCAGAGAACTACCCCAAACCCCACAACCGTGCTGCCACTCCGAAGCCCCAGTGGCTCCCCATACGGAGAGGCACCCGTGGTGCGAGTGTTTGGGGAAAACCGAACAATACTGCCACCGCTACTCCCATGACCTATCCCGGGGCGCGCTCTGACGAGAATTTCGAGGCGAGTCCGGCGGTGGCGGCGAAGGCCTCCCAGGAGACTACCCAGCAAGGAGAAATCGAGGGAGGAGCAGCGGTATCAGTACCTCGTCCCTCCCCTGGAAACACGCACCGCTTGGAGGCCTCCGAGAAGCACTGGTGGTACACGTCGTTCATTTCTAATCGTGTTCATTTTTGATTGTGCTCGTTTCTAATTGTTCCTGGCCCCCTCGTGGCCAGGGAGAGGCCCAGGGTAGAACAATTAGAAATGAAAGGATCTCGGCCCCCTCAAAAATCAAAGAACTCGAAGAATTAGAACAATGTGTACAATTTTTGGACCCCGGAGCGCCGGACTTCATCGGCGCGATGTTGAGGACCAGCGGGAGGCAGTGCATGCCCTCCTGCTGCCCGGGCTCGCCGCCCGTGTAGCAGGGGCTAGTGAGGCCTTGGCGGCGATCGAAAAGCAGCTGCCGAGTGCAGTCGGACGTAGACCAGGAGAACATACTTGAAGGGGCCCTGGTACACACAGATAAATAAAAACAAATAACAGGATTCCCAATATTTTCCTGTATTTTCTGGGTTTTTGCCTCCCCCCAACTTCCCATATTTTCCTACATTTTCTGGGGAATCGACGACTAATTGTGTCTCTGTGTGTTTTTTCCCTCCTGAGTCCTTCAAAAGAGCATGAGACCCCCCGCAGGCCAAATCAAACAGAACACCCAAGAGTATCCTCCCCAGGGTTCACAAGAACACCCAGCAGACACGAGGAACACGAGGGTGCCCTCCCCGAGCCGACCTCGGTCTGATCGCTCGGTGCGGACCGTGAAGAGCACAGGACAAGGTCTTCCACCATCGGGGACGCTTGTCCCAGGGCGGCTGGGAGGTTCACTTCCCGACGTGCCACCGTAGGGGTATCGGACGCGACAGTCGGACCTGGGCCAGGAAAAACATGCTTCAAGAACAGGAGACCCTCCGCCGAGCATCATGAAGAGCAAATTCGAGGGTACTCCCCCAGGACGCGCAAGAACATCCAATGCACACGAAGAAGAGTAGGGCACCCTCCCCGATCCGACCTCGATCTCCTACCTCGGTCCGACTGTATATATATATATATATATATATATGTATTATATATATATATATATATATATAATGGCGGAACGGTTTATGTCCAAATTACCGATCTTCGTCCGCCAAGACAAGGGGCCAAGGTTGGGCAGAATCGGCTCTCCGAGACGGCGGGGTCCTCTCGCGGAGGACCTCCTCCCCGCGCGTCCACGGAGAGCAGACCACTGGAGCGTGGGATCAGAAGCCCCGCTTATGAAGGGGCCCGGGGACACACAAATAAATATACACAAATAAAATGATTCCCCATATTTTCATATATTTTCTGGGTTTCTGTCTTCCCCCCCACTTCCCATATTTTCCCATATTTTCTGCGGAATAGAAGATTAATTGTGTCTGTGTGTTTCTTTTCCTCCTGAGCTTAACCGTCACGCTCCTGGCGGATTTCACCTCCGCTACTCGTGTGAGCCCTGGCCCCTACAGTTTAGGACACCAGAACAGCTGCTGCAGATGCACTCGTCTCAGCCGAGCTCTGACGGCGACGAGGACGGCGGGCGAGGACGACGGCGAGGACGAAGACGACAAAGATGAGCGTCGGGCGCCCAGAGGTCACCTGGAGGCCCCTGAGGCCTCCCGAGGTCACCACAAGCCCTCGGAGGTCACCTGGCGCCTCCAAATGCCTCTGGAGACACAGGCAGAAATCCAAAATCCAAAAACGCCCAAGCAAACCTCGATCCCGGGCACGCCCACGACCGCGACGACCACCACGACGGCCGACTGTGGATCCCTCCCCAGACGTCCGGCGATGATCTGACTTTTGTACGAACGTTCGCCCAGGATTCGGGGAACGCGATTGCCAAACCAAGGGGTAGGGCACCCCCCGAAACGCCAGGCCAGCGCCGACTCGCTGGGCGAGGGAGCGCGCCGATTCTGCACGGCAACACGGGGCGCGTCGCTAATCCACGCGCCCCGACCCGGGCCATCGTCTCCTCGACCCGGCTCCGTGTCGCGTGCCCCCCCCTGGGGGCCCGAAGACTGCCCCCGGAGGCCGAAGCAGAGCAGCCGCGCCCGGGCGGAAGGCACGGCGGGGGCGGCTTGAGGGTGTCCCTGGCCCAGGGTGTCCCCGACTCCTCGCCCCGCTGTGGCCCCCCTGCGGCCCTCTGGGCCTCGTGAGGTGCGCGCGCGCTCTGGAGGCCACGGGGGGGGGGCCTCCTCGGGGAGGAGGAGGAGGAGGAGGAGGAGGAGGAGGAGGAGGAGGAGCAGGAGGAGGAGGAGGAGGAGGAGGAGGAGGAGGAGGAGGAGGAGGAGGGGGAGGCGCCCTGGGCCAAAGACACATCCGGCCACACGAGAACAGAAGCCAATCTGCCTGAGCTTGAGGGGGAACGACGGAGGGGGACTGCCTCGGCGGGAGGATATCGACCGGAAATCGGCGACACATCTGCGACAGATCGGCAAGAGGCCCCCGAGAGCGAAGCCGCATGCTGCCCGGCGGGGTGGACCATCGATGCGGGGTCAATGCGTCCCTCCCTGGGCCTGTCCTTTGTCGGCGAGGGGCAACTGCTGGAGAGTTATACTGAGGCCGGCCGACAACCACCGAACGCGCTCCCTGGGCCTACCTATCCCCCCCCCCTGGCAAGAGCAAAAGAAATCCGGCCCGGCTCCAGGAACCCACCCGCCAAAAAACTCGTGTCGCAAACAGAAGCCCGACCTCAAGAAAATCACAATCGGAAGCCCAGACCCCGTCCTTCTGCGGCACTCCTCGAGCACGATCGGTCCGTGTGGGCCCTGGATCCCGAAGCGGGGCGAACACGCCGGGTGTGAACAAAATGCAGCACTAGAGCCTCAAGGGCACCCTGAGCCAAAGACATCTGCCAACACCAGAGCGAGAGACGGCTGGCCAGAAGAGCCGCGGGCCGTCCACGCGGTCGTCGTTGTCGTCGTCGTCGTCGTCGGCGTCGTCTGACGTCGTCCTCGTCGTCGAAAGAGACGGCCGGCCAGAAGAGCCGCGGGCCGTCCACGCGGTCGTCGTCGTCGTCGTTCGTCGTCGTCGTCGTCGTCGACGGTCTTCGGTCGTCGTCGTCGGTCGTTGGTCGTCGGTCGTCGTTGTCATCGTCGTCGTCGTCGTCGTTGTCGAGGGACGGCCGGCCAGAAGAGCCGCGGGCCGTCGCCGCGGCCGTCGTCGTCGTCGTCGTCGTCGTCCTCCTCCTCGTCGTCGTCGTCGTCGACGTCGGTCGTCGGTCGTCGGCCGTCGGTCGTCGTCATCGTTGTCATCGTTGTCGTCGTCGTCCTCGTCGTCGTCGCCGTCGTCGAGAGACGGACGGCCAGAAGAGCCGCGGGCCGTCCACGCGGTCGTCGTCGTCGTCGCCGTTGTCGTCGCCGTCGTCTTCGTCGTCTTCGCTGTCGGTAGTCGGCCGTCGGTCGTCGGTCGTCGGTCGTCGTTGTCATCGTCGTCGTTGGTCGTCGTCGTCGTCGTCCTCGTCGTCGTCGCCGCCGTCGAGAGGCGGCCAGCCAGAAGAGCAGCGGGCCGTCCACAAGGTCGTCGTGGCCGTCGTCGTCTTCGTCGTCGGTCGACGGTCGTCGGTCGTCGGTCGTCGTTGTCGTCGTCGTCGTCGTCCTCCTCCTCGTCGTCGTCGTCGTCGTCGAGTGACGGCCCGCCAGAAAGGCCGAAGGCCGTCCGCACGGTCGTCGACGTCGTCGTCGTCGTCGGTCGTTGGTCGTCGTCGTTGTCGTCGTCGTCCTCGTCGTCGTCGTCGAGGGACGGCCGGCCAGAAGAGCCGCGGGCCGTCCACGCGGTCGTCGTCGTCGTCGTCGGTAGTCGGTCGTCGGTCGTCGGCCGTCGTTGTCGTGGTCATCGTCGTCGTCGGCGTCCTCGTCGTCGACGCCGTCGTCGAGAGACGGCCAGCCAGAAGAGCCGCGGGCCGTTCACGCGGTCGTCGTCGTTGTCGTCGGCCGTCGGTCGTCGGTCTTCGGTCGTCGGTCGTCGGTCGTCGTTGTCATCGTCCTCGTCGGTCGTCGGTCGTCGGTCGTCGTCGTCGAGAGACGGCCGGCCAGAAGAGCCGCGGGCCGTCCACGCGGTCGTCGTCGTCGTCCTCGTCGTCGTCTTCGTAGAGTGACGGCCCGCCAGAACAGCCGCAGGCCGTCCACGCGGTCGTCGGTCATCGTCGTCTGTCGTCGTCGTTACCGTTGTCATCGTCGTCGTCGTCGTCCTCGCCCTCGTCCTCGTCGTCGTCGTCGTCGTCGAGAAAGAGACGGCCAGAAGAGCCGCGGGCCGTCCACGCGGTCGTCGTCGTCGTCGTCGTCGTCGTCGTCGTCGTCGTCGTCGTCGTCGTCGTCGTCGTGGCTGTCGTCGGTCGACGACGACGGTCGTCGGTCGTCGGTCGTCGGTCGTCGTCGTCATTGGCATCGTCGTCGACGTGGTCGTCGTCGTCCTCGTCCTCGTCGTCATCCTCGTGGAGGGACGGCCGGCCCGAAGAGCCGCGGGCCGTCCACGCGGCGCCACGCCTCGGGGAGCCGCGGCCCGAGCCAGGCCCCGCCGAGCTGCTGACACCGCCGCAGGCCCACGGAGAGGCACGCGGGCTCCGCCGGCGGGGCCTCGCTGGCGGGAGGTCGCGCGGCGGACTCCTTCTCCTCCTCCTCCTCCTCCTCCTCCTCCTCCTCCCCCTCCTCCTCCTCTCCTCCTCCTCCTCCTCCTCCTCCTCCTCCTCCTCCTCCTCCTCCTCCTCCTCCTCGTCCTCCTCCTCCTCCTCCTCCTCCTGCCCCGCTGGACAAATCTACCCCCTCCCCTATGGGACGCACAGACACATACTGGTACTGTATGTTCTCCTTGGAGGCGCGCGTCCGACCCAAACATATAGTATACCCACCTTGTAGTACATAGTTTCCCGAGCGGTGTGGCCAGAAAGCGCCCGCCACGACGCATGTACTATAAGATTTCTCGGTGCGCGCATCGCCCCCAGGGGGGCGACGCACATATAGTATAGATATGTTAGGGTGACGCCCATCCTAAGTGACTAAAAATAAAACGCAGACTCTAACCGGGTTCCGGGTTCCGGGTTCACCCGGGTTCTGGGTTCACCCAGGGTCCCGGTTCACCCTGGTTCCGGGTTCACACATACAAGCGGGCGTGAGGTCGCGTGGTGGACGAGGGAAACAAATCTCCACCCCCACCTGGGCAACCTTGGCCCTGCTGGGCAGCTACCCCCCTAGGTGGGGATGGGTACCGACTCCCTCGGGTTTCGGAGCACCCATTTCTACCTAGGGGCGGTACGCTGGGAGAGCCAATTTACCCTGCCCCGGTGAGGGGGGGGGTTGGTTCCGACGATGATGAGATCTTGTGATTCGCAATAAAAGGACCCCTAACCATGTGGGAGGGGACCTTAGGAGAGCCAAACAGAAGAATTTGGAATACGGGGCCTTTTCTGCAGATGTATCAAGCCACGCCACTAAGAACCGGTATCCCTGATGCAAAGACGGGCGCCCACAACAAGCCACATCTTCACTACGTTATTAGGGGTTCATTGATCCTCGATGATCTTGGGGGGTTTTGCTAAAGGTGCCCCTGGCCCAAGGTGACCCCCGCGTTTCGCTCAATCTTGGAGCCCCTGGGGCCTTCTGGGTCTCGCGATGGAGTGCTCTGGAGGCTGCGGGGGCCTCATGAGGATTAAGTCGGGCCTGTCCCCCTACAGGCCGATTTTGGCCAAAAAATTAAAGACACCCCAGAAATACTAAAAATGCTCAAACATGGTTCAAACAAAGTCCCCAGACTATTTTTTGACTATTTTTAAGTATTCCCCCTGCCCTGGCGTCGTAATTCGCTAATCTGTTCGCAGCGGGCGAATTTTCTGTGTCTGGCCCGGGGACCATCACAGATCCATCTTGCTGGAAATATGCCGTGAAAGATGAGGTCCAGGGCTCCCGTGGTGACTTTCCGCGATGTTGCGCACTTCGTTCCCAAACGTCGGACCTCGGGGGTCCCGCCGACCTTGGTCGTTGTCGTCGATCCTGGTCTTCGTCGGCTCGTGAAGCATCCCCGCGGATCGGCGACGGCCAGCACGGACCAAGGCCAAGACTGGCGTCGACCAAATTCTGCGACGTCTTGGTCATGGCCACTGTGTTTCTTCCTTCGACCCGTGGCCTCCAGGTGGGGGGCCAGGGCCCCAAACCCTGGTGACGCTGTTTTTTTCTCGCCACGGGCGTGCTTTCGCCCCACTTCGGGCCCCGGGGCCCTCGCCGACCGCTCTGGCACGAGCAATATCGCAGAATCATGGGGTCTATGGCGCTGGTCGCGATTTGGCACGATGCTATACTGCTTTCGCGACGCAGGATCGCAAGGGACATCTCGCGGATTGCTGTTTGTAATCCCGGTGTTTTTCCTCGATCTCGGCGTCCAGGGGCCATCCAACGTGGAACTGCGGCGAAACGACCATCCCAGGGGGAAAGGTCGAGACCTCTGGGAGCCGCGGATTGCAAACATCACCCAGCAAAGCACCCTGACAGCAGCAAAGGTGAAGAGCGGCGGGTCGATGAGGAGGAGGTCGGCTGCCGATGGTGGGGGTGAGAGCACGGCCATGTACACCTCAATGTATTTTGTACCAGGGATCGTGGCCGTCAGGACCAAACATGCAGCTGGCATTGAAGCGAAGATGCGATCTGTGAAAAACGTGAAGACATCTCAAGCGAAACGGCCGCCGGACCGGGCGGAACTCTTCTGTGGCCTTTCTCTTCAGGCAGTGCTTGCACTTGGGGGCTCCTGCTTGTTCTCACGGAGCTGGGCTCGTGTGCCGTCCCGGCCAGACCTTCGCCGCCCAGTGGCCGCCCCGGCCCGCATGTGGTCGCCCCGTCGCCGCTCGTCGCCGCCCGTCGCCGCCTCGTCGCCGCACTGCAACGCACTGCATCGCACTAGAATCGTATTGCAGTGCGTCGCGCTGCAATCGCACATCATGCATTGCACCACGTGGGTCCTCTTTTCTGCGAGAATATTAACGAGTCACACTATCCCTCCTTGAAAGAAACTGTCACAATTCTTCTGGTCTGCGCGCGCACGTCCTCCTCGGCCCCGTCGCTCTCATCAGAACCGTCCTCGTCAATAGCGCCAGCTCCATCATCGTCACCGTCGTCAACATCCTCGTCTCCGTCATCATTGCCACTGTCATCATCATGGCTATCGACACAATCGCCGTCGGCATCGTCATCGATGTCGTCCCCGTCGATGTCGTTGCCGTCGTCCACGGCGCCCCCGCCATCGCGCGTCCTGCAAGGAAGTCTCCTGTCTGCGTCATCGGGGGCCGCGCGCGGGTGAGCTGGTCGAAAAACGCTAGCTGGCCATCATCATCGTGTCTACCATTGTCGACGTTGCCATGATACCGCGCCCATCCAAGTCGCCGGCTCGCGCTGAATTACCCGCTGGGAAGTGCCCAGCGGTATGCGCCTCCGCGGCCTCGTCGGCGACGCCAAACTAGCAGGCCGTTGCGCGGCCGCAGAGGTGCACCAGCCAACGCCGAACACTCATCGCAAGCGCCGCCGCATGGGTTTTGCAGACCAAGTTGTGGGTGGGTGGGTGGGATGATTGCGCGAGAAATGGGGTTGACAACTTCAAGTCCGGTAGGGTGAATATTACAACGAAGATTGCACTGCGTATCTCACACTGCAAAGATCGGACCACATATGCTGCACCAAACAGCTTGCATCGCATTGCTGACACCACCTAGATGAACACGTTGACTCCATATGGAGTCTCCTTTGTCAAAGAAAAATAAGGTGTCTCCCCTCCCCTCCCCCGGACTTAACATATTTTTCGCATTGCAATTTCATCTGGTTCTGCCCCGTCGTTCGTCCTAAATATGAGTTCGTGTCATCCCATCCCAGCTAAACCTGTATCCCCCCCATCATCCTCTGAAACAAATATGCGCGCACCTTCGTTTATCAGAACTCATCCGTTTCCAAGAGCCCCTTGCAATACATGGGACGAAGTGCGCCCGTGCGCGCCGTCGCGAGCGCATGCCGCAATCCTTCAAAGACATTGAGCGCCGTATGTGGCTTGAACACATATTCAAAAAAATGGTTTCGCAATGCGGTCTTCAATGAACAACATGCGCTCGGGCTCGTACGATCTTGAGGGAAACCATGGCTTGCTCAACCTGTGCGTTAAATTCTGCCAAGCGGGCCTCTCGCGCGCGCATGTCGAAATCATTCGAACGCTTTTGTGCGCGCGCTGTCGCCAGAGCCCCTGCCAAAGCATGGGACGAAATGCGCACGCGCGCGCCGTGGTGCGCGGAAGTCAAATTCGTTGAGAAACGTGAGTTTTCGCAGAGATTTCAGAACCGCGTGCCCTGACAACACATATAAACAACTGTTCTGCCACATCCGCTTCCCAAATACTATGCGCAAGCCTCCGTCCGCCCACCTGCGAATACTTTCAACACCTATAAGCTTTCAACGTTATCATGCAATTTTGTCAGACGGACCTGTCGCGCCGCATGTAAAAACATCGGAACGCCCTTGCGAGCGTGATGGGGGGGGGGCACGATCCGTGTCTAATAATACAATGCGGGCTACTCTCGCGCGTCGGCCGCGCGCGCATGTCGAACTCCATCCAAAACCTTCATCACCGACGCGAGGACACCGTCCTCGTCGTCGGCATGATCAGCATCGGCGCCATCACTGGTCTTGCCGTCGTCGTTGTCATTCTCGTCACCAGCATCGCTACCATCATCGTCATCGTTCCTACCGTTGTCGACGTTGTCATGATACCGCGCCCGCTCAAGTCTCCGAATCGGACTGACGTGCCCGCTGGGAAGTGCCTAGCGGTCGGCGCCACCGCGGCCGCGTCGGTCGCGCCAAACTAGCTGGCCGCTACGCGCGCGAGCACGCGTGGGCTAGCGCGGCCGCAGAGATGTACCAGCCAACACCAAGCACTCATCGCAATCGCTGCCGCATGGGTTTTGCAAACCAAGTTACGGGGGGGTGGGTGGGATGGATGCGCGAGAGCTGGAGTTCACAACCCACTGCGAACAAAACGAATTTCCATCACGCAACTTTCACCAATTAGCTCACACCACGTAGACTGCAGGGTAAAGATCGGACCACATGGATTGCACGAAGTAGCTTGCACAACATAGATCGTACCGCATGGATTCCACCACGTAGGTAGGTAGGTTGCACTACAGATCTCACACCCCGTAATCCGCACCCTACTGGTTGCACCACGCAGATTGCACCACCTAGCTTACTCACAACACATGCTGCTTGCACCACACAGCTCGCATCACGCAGCCTGCACCACACGGCCTGCACCACGCATGCTGCACCACCTCGCATGCTGAAAGCCGCTGCCCGGGGCGCGAACGCAACCCTGCCCAGCGAAGCGCCAGTGCTGCTGTCAGGGAATCCTGCCGAAGGGCCAAGAGGACCGCGCCGCACCGCCGACAGGCACCGCCGACGCACCGGCGGCGTCGGCGCACGGGGAGCGCTGGGCTCAGCGTCGCGCCGCGCGGGCGACGCCCATCGGCCATGCGGCCACAGTTCGAGAAGCTGGAGGAGGATGATTGGGAGGAGGAGGAGGAGAAGGAGAAGGACCTCCTCTGTCACAGAGGTCCTCCGCTCCTCCGTTGAAAAGTCCCTTCTGTCACAGATGTGCGAAAAGATCACCTGATCTTGGACTACGGCCCGCTCCCGTCGCGGCGGCCTGGGCGTCGGTGCCCCGCCGCAACGCGCGAACCGCTCCGCCTGGAGTGGCCGCGGCCTGTTTCGATGCGGCTGGCGTCGCATTGGCAGCGAGCAACATCGACCTCCGAAGAGCGCCCCATCTCCCTGTGAGGCGATGCCCCAGCGAGGGCCCCTCTGCTCACGCCATCTAGCCCTGCGAGGGCCTCGTTGGTGCAAGCTGTCCCCCTGCCACGGCTTCCTCGGTGCACGCTGTCCCCCAGAGGCGCCACATCTGGGTTGCCCCACCCATGGGTTGCGCCAGGGCCGCACCATCCATGGATTGCGCCAGGGCGTTGAGACATATCTTAGAAGTTAGGTTGCACCATCCATGGGCAGAGACATATAATCTCCCATGGGGGGGGGCAAGGGCGAACAAACTCGAAGGGAGGAGTAACGCGATGAGGAAGAGTGGGCCTCTCAACCATCAGAGGTGAACACTTGTACTTAAAAGTAACCTTTAAGCATACCTTCAGCAACTTGCAACATGCACCCTAAGCAACTTAATGAGTATGTAATTACTGTGTCGCCTTAAGTAGTTAAGTTACTTCAACTACTTATAGCTACGGTGCAAGTAGCATAAGTAGCACCGGCCTCTAAGCAGCAGACGAACTCGGCACCGCGGCAAACCCCATGGCGAACCTTGCGTCCGAGGCGGAGTTTGCCCTGGTGCCCGCAGCGCCCTCCCCAAGACGCAAACGGCGCGGCAACATCTCTCTTTCTCACGGCGCCGACCCCCCATCAGGGGGTCTGGCAGACCCTCTCCCAGGCCCCATCTCCTCCTCAACTCGAGTCCTTTTGTTGACCGCACAGTTGGGCGGCGCCTAATGGGGGGGCGATGAATGGGGGGGGAGAAAGGTGTACTTGTCGGGACCTGCAGGCCTTCTCTTGGGTCCTCAAGGGCCTCTCCAGGGGCCTTAAAGCGCTCCTTTTCTACAGCCCTCGCTGAGCCCCAACGATCGCCCCCTAGCGCGCGACGCCCAAGGCCGGGGGCCTGGCGAGGGCCCCGGGAGGCAGAGACGAGCAACGAAAACCCCGCCGTGTTTTTGTTTTTCCTGTTCCCCTCACGGCGCGAGGTCCGCGGTCGTCGCTGCGCCGACACGAGGCGAGCCCGTCGCACCGCCACCTTGAGCTCCGACGCCGCAAGCAGCCTGCAGCGCAGCGAAAGATCGCGACCGGAGCCCCGGCGCCCGTCGTCCCGTGGCGCTTCTCAAGCGGGATCGATCTGCGAAGGCCCCAGGGCCCAGCGCGAGGAACGCCTGCACGTGGGGAGGCACTTGCGACGCCAAGATCCCAGGGGCGCTGGGGCCACCGCTGCGCCGACACGACGCTAGCCTGCCGCACTCCTGGGCCCCATCTTGGATTGAGCAGGGACCGACCGTCCCGGCATTTCTCTAGCCCTACCACGAGATGTTCTTAGAACCCAGACATGTTCTAAGAAGAAGAACAATGTTCTTAGACCATCAGCCCGACGCGTTATCAAACAAAACAGCCCCCGCCAGAAATGTCCTAAGGACATGTCGCGCAAACCACAAAAAGGTTCTTAGAACATTGTTTGGTGGGCCCATAGGCGAGCCAGGACGCTTCGCCACCGCCGGACTCTTGAAGGGGCCCCTGGCCTCGGCCGCCAGGCAGGAGCGCCAGCCTGCCGCACTCCTGCCTCGTGCAGAGCTTCCCGCACGGGGGACATCAGGCGGACTCCCGTCGTGGAGGCGGCTGCGGCGGCGGCGCCGCCCGAGGCTTCAGGCGAGAGCGACTTGAATTCCCTTTTATTTGAGGGATGAAAAAACGACCCTACCCTGGATTACAAGTGCGTGGTCTGTAAAACCTCCTGGGAACCCCCAAAGCCTAGAGCCGCCAGGACGCGGCACGTCACGCAGGGTTTACCCTGTCAGCCAACAGGAGTTTCAGCGCACAGCGCCTCGTAAACCAGGGTAGGGGCGTTTTTTCTGCCTTTGATTTATGGGGAGGGGAGCAACCAGCCAGAGTGAGAGCCGACCTGCTCAGTTTGGCCAGCAGGTGCCAGCTCGTCAGTGGGCCCCATCTTGGAAGGCCCCCGGGCCTCGGCCGCCAAGCAGGAGCCCAAGCCCTCCGTCATGCAGCGCAGCGCGGGGCTGGCGCCTCGTGGCGCCGGGCCCGCGGCGGACAGCGCCGAGCCCAGCGCCGCTCCTGCTGCGGTGCGCGGAGAGGCCTCTGCCCTCCTCCTTCTCCTCCTGCTCCTCCTCCTCGCTCCTCCCTCCTCCTCCTCCTCCTCCTCCTCCTCCGCCTCCTCCCTCCTCCTCCTCCTCCTCCCTCCTCCTCCTCCTCCTCCCTCCTCCTCCTCCTCCTCCTCCTCCTCCTCCTCCTGCTCCTCCTCCTCCTCCTCCTCCTCCTCCCCATGCTCCTCCTCCTCCTCCCTTCTCCCTCCTCCTCCTCCTCCTCCTCCTCCTCCTCCTCCTCCTCCTCCTCGTCACCTTCTCCATCCTCCTCCACCCTCCCTCTCCTCCAGTTCCTCCTCCCCCCAGCACTTTCTCATTCCTCACTTCCTCCCTCTTTCCCCCTGCTGCTCCTCCTCTGTTCTCATCCTGGTCCTCAGCCCCCCCCCTCTTCCCTCCTGCACTCCCTCCTTCTCTCCTACCCTCTCTTCCTTCCCAACCTTCGCGTCGCGAGGACGTCGCCAGGGAAAGAATCTCTGGGGGGCCCTTGCCTGACCTGGAGCCGTCGCAGAACGCCCTGCGATGGAAATCGGATCCCTGGGATGGGGGCGACACCTCTGGGGGCCAGAGCCGGAGAGCAAGAAGCGACGTCGGGGCTCTGCGGTTACTGCTCCGCGTGCTTCGTCCTCCTTGCTCTCGCCCTCGCCCTCGCTTTGCGCCCTCGCGGAGGTAGTCGAGCATTCTCTCTGCTCTTCTTCCTCTCCCTCTTCTTACCCCTCGCCCTCTTCCTCATCGCCGCCCTCGCCCTAGTCCTCATCGTCGTCGCCGTCTTCGTCGTCGTCGTCGTTGCAAGTCGTTGCTGCTGTCGTCGTCGTCATCATCATCGTCGTCGTGGTCGTCAACGTCGTCAACATCATCGTCGTCGTCGTTGTCATGGTGATCATTGTCAAGGTCGTGGTATTCGTCGTCGCCGCCGGCGTAATCGTGGTCGTCGACGTAGTCGTCGTTCGTCGTGGTAGTGGTCGTCGTGGTCTTCGTCGTCGTCGTCGTCGTGGTCGGGGTCGTGGTCGTGGTCGTGGTCGTCGTCGTGGTCGTCGTCGTGGTCGTGGTCGCGGTGATCGTGGTCGTCGTCGTCGTCGTCGTCGACGTAATCGTCGTCTCCCTTGTGGTCGTGGTCGTGGTCGTTGTCATCGTAGTGGTCGCCGTCGTCGTGGCTGTCAGGGTCGTCTTCGTCGTGGTCGTGGTACTCGTGATCATTCTGGTCGTCGCAGTCGTCCTCGTCGTCGTCGTGGTCGACGTCTTCGTCGTCGTTGTCGTGTTCGCCGTCGTCGTCGTCGTCGGCGTCGTCGTCGTGGTCATCGTCGTAGTCATCGTCGTGGTCGTCGTCGTCATCGTGGTCGTGGTCGTGATCATCGTCGTGGTCGTCGTCGTCGTTGTCATGGTCGACGTCGTCGTCGTCGTCGTGGTCGTGGTCCTCGTCGATTTCGTCGTCGTCGTCGTGGTTGTCGTCATCGTCGTGGTCGTCGTCGTGGCCGTCGTCGTCGTCGTCGTGGTCGGCGTCGTTGTCGTCGTTGTGGTCGTGGTCGCGGTCGGGAAGTCGTCGTCGTCGTCATCGTGGTCGTCATAGTAGTCGTCGTCGTAGTCGTCGGAGTCGTCGACAGTCGACGTCGTCGTCGTCGCCGTCGCGTTCGTGGAAGTGGTCGTGGTCGTCGTCGTGGTCGTGGCTTTCGTCGTCGTGGTCGTCGTGGTCGTCGTCGTCGTCGTTGTCCTCGTCATCGTCGTGGCCGTGATTGTCGGTTTCGTCGTCGTCGTCGTGGTCGTCGTCGTCATCGTGGTCGTGTTCGTCGTCCTCGTCGTCGTCGACGTGGTCGTCGTCGTGGTCGTCGTCGTAGTGGTAGCCGTCGTCATCGTCGTTGTCGTTGTCGTAGACGTCGTCGTCGTCGTCGTCGTCGTGGTCGTCGTCTTCGTTGTGGGCCAGAGCCGAAGAACAAAAAGACAACATCGGGGCTCTGTGTTTACTGCTCCGCGTTATTCGTCCTCCTCGCTTTCGCCCTCGCCCTCACTTCTTCGCCCTCGTGCAGGAAGTCAAGCATTCTCTCTGTTCGTCATTCTCTCCCTTTCCCTACCCCTCGCCCTCTTCTTCATCGCCGCCCTCGTCCTAGTCCTCATCGTCGACACCGTCTTCGTCCCCGTCGTCGTGGTCATCGACGTCGTCGTGGTCGTCGTCGCCATGGTGATCGTGGTCGAAATAGTGGTCGTCGTCGTCACCGCCGGCGTTTTCGTCGTCGTCGACGCAGTCGTCGTCGATGTCGTCGTCGTCGTCGTGGTCGTCGTCGTCGTCGTCGTCGTGGTCGCGGTCGTCGTGGTCGTTGTCTTTGTGGTCGTGGTCGGGGTCGATGTCGTGGTCGTGGTCGTCGCCGACATCATCGTGGTCGTCCTCGTCGTGGTCGCGGTGATCTTTGTCGTCGTCGTCATCGACGTAATCGTCGTCTCCCTTGTGATCGTGGTCGTGGTCGTGGTCGTCGTCGTCCAAGTGGTTGTCACGGTCGTCGTCGTCGTGGTCGTCGTCGTCGTCGCCGTCGTCGTCATCGTCGTGGTTGTCGTCGTCAAAGTGGTCGTCGCCGCCGTCGTCGTGGTCAAGGTCGTGGTGGTGGTCGTCGTCGACGTCGTCGTCGTTGACGTGGTCGTCATCGTCGACGTGGTCGTCGTCGTTGTCGTCGTGGTCGTGGTCCTCGATGATGTCATCGTCGTCGTGGTGGTCGTGGACGGAGTGATCGTCGTCCTCGTCGTCTACGTCGTCGTCGTCGTCTTCGTAATCCTGCAAGTGGTCGTCGTGGTCGTCGGCGGCGTGGTCGTGGTCGTAGTCGTCGTCGACGTGGTCGTGGTCGTAGTCGTGGTCGTGGTCGTGGTCGTGGTCGTGGTCGTGGTCGTGGTCGTGGTCGTAGTCGTCGTCGACGTGGTTGTGGGTTCCGGCGTCGCCGTCGTCGTGATAGTCGTCGTCATCGTGGTCGTCGTCATGGTCGTCGTGGTCGTCTTCGTCGTGGTCGTGGCCGTCGTCATCGTCGTCGTCGTGCTAGTGGTCACCAATTTGGTCGTCACTGTGGTCGTCGTCGTGGTCGTCGTCGTCGTCGTGGCCGTCGTCGTCGTCGTTGTGGTGGCCGTCGTCGTCGTCGTCGTCGTCGTCGTCGTCGATGTCGTGATCGTCGTCGTCGTCGTCGTCGAGGTCGTCGTCGTCGTCGTTATCGTCGTGGCTGTGGTCGTCGTCGTCGTGGTCGTCGTCGCGGTCATCGTCGTGGTCGTCGTCGTCGTGGTCGTCATCGGGGTCGTGGTCGTTCGTGGTCGTGGTCGTCGTCGTGGTCGACGTCGTTGTCGTCGTCGGCGTTGTCGTGGTTGTCGTCGTCGTGGTCGTCGTCGTCGTGGTCCTCGTCGTGGTCGTCGTCGTGGTCGTTGTCGTCGTGGTCGTCGTCGTCGTCATCGTCTTCGTTGTCATCATCGTAGTTGGGGTCGTCGTCTTCATCGTCGCCGTCGTCGTCGTGGTCGTCGTCGTCGGCGTAGCCGTTGTCGCTGTCGTCGTGGCCATCGTCGTCGTCGTTTACGACGGCGTCGTCTTGGGCGCGGTCGTCGTCGTCGTAATCGTCATCGTCGTCCTGGTGGTCGTGTTCGTGGTCGTCCTGGCCGTCGTGGTCTTCGTCGTCGTCTTCGCGGTAGTGGTTAGCGACGTTGTCATGGTCGTGGTCGTGGTCGTGATGGTCGTCGTCGTCGTGGACGTGATGGTCGTCGTCGTCGTGGTCGTGGTCGTCGTGGTCGTGGTCGTCCTGGTCGTGGTCGTGGTCGTCGTCGGGGGTGTCGCCGTGGTCGTTGTCGTAGTCGTCGTCTTCATGGGCGTCGTCGTCGTCGTCGTCGTCGCCAACGTCGTCGTCGTCGTCGTCTTCGTCGTCGTCGTCCTGGTCGTAGTCGTGATCGTGACCATCGTCGTCGTCGTGATCGTGGCCGTCGTCGACGTCGTCGTCGTCGTCGGGGGTCTCGTTGTCGTCGTGGTCGTGGTCGTCGTCTTCGTCGTGTTCTTCATCGTCTTTGTCGTGGTCGTCGTCGCCGTGGTCGTCATCGTCGCCGTCGTCGTGTTCGTCGTCGCCGCCGTCGTCGTCTTTGCCGTCGTTGTCGTCGTCGTGGTGATCGTGGTCGTGGTCGTCGTCATCGTGGTCGTCGTCGTCGTCGTTGTGGTCGTCGTCGTCGTCGTGGTCGTCGCCGCCGTCGCCGTGGTCGTCGTCGTCGTCGTGGCGGTGCTGATCGTCGTCGTCGTAGTCGTCGCCAAGGTCGTCGTCTCCGTCGTCATCGTCGTGGGCGTCGTCGTCGAGGTCCTCGTCGTCATGGTCGTCGTGGTCGTCGTCGTGGTTGTAGTCGTCGTCGTGGTCGTCGGCGTCGTCATCGTCGCTACCGTGGTCGTCGTGATCAGCGTCAACGTCATCGTCAATGTGTTCGTCGTGGTCGTCGTCGTCGTCGTCGTGGTCATGCTTGTCGTCGTCGTGGTTGTCGTCGTCGTCGTGATCGTCGTCCTCGTCGTGGTCGTCGTCGTCGTCGTGGTGGTCATCGTCGTCGTGGTCGTCGTCGTCGTGGTCATCGCCGTGGTCGTCGTCAACATCGTCTTGGTCGTCGTGGTTGTCGTGGTCTGGGTCGTCGTCGTCGTCGTCGCTGTCATGGTCAGCGTCGTCGTCATCGTGGTCGTCGTCGTCGTCGTGGTCATTGTCGTCGTTGTGGTCGCCGTCGTCGTTGTGGACGTGGTCGCCGTTTTGTCGTCGTGGTCGTCTTGGTCGTCGTCATGGTCGTCGTCGTCGTCGTCATCGTCGTCGTCACCGCCGTCGTCGTCGTCGTCGTCGTCGTGGTCGTGGTCGTCGTCGAGGCCGTCGTCGTCGTCGTCGTGGTCGTCGTCGCCGTCGCCGTGGTCGTCGTCGTCGCCGTGGTGATC